AGACAAGCAATTATGCCACTGAGCTATATCCCCGGCCCTACTTTCAAATTCAAAGTAAATGAAAATATGAACGATGTCCAACATATGAAGACAATAAAAACTGATGATAAAATGCCACCAGAAGAAAAAACATTATCAGTCAATTTAAAACCATTATCATATAGAAATGCACCCTTAAAAACAAAACATACTACAATTTACTACTCACCTTTAAAGCTCCATAACACAGTCCATACAACAAGGCTACTGCCACAATACTACAGATAAAACTGTAAAGTGCTGCAAGCAGGCTTGTGGTGGCTAGACAGTAAAGAAAGAAAGATTTTTTAAAAACATCTATGCAAAAAAATTAAAAGGTCACAAAAAACATTCAAAATATTATGTTAACTATGATTAAGTATACTTGTTTGACTTTTAAACACTTAGTTGTTTCACCTTGTACTTGCCAAGGACTTTGACATACCAAAGATCTGCTATCTCCAACCTTTGTTATAAGATAAAATATATTCATCTCATAGCAGAAAAATACCAGTGGTATCCTTCAAAATGTATTTTATCGTAACAAAAAGTACTGGGAAATGAAGTTTGCAGATGTTTTAATTACTGAGATATTAGTCTATGTAAAAACATTTACGTTACCCACAGAAATAAATTTGTATTTTCAAGTATTAATTCTCACACACAAAAAAAATCAGATCTGACCACTAACAATAACAACAACAAAAAAAGAGATCCAGTGGGGTTGCTGATAAGAAAAAACAGGGATAGGTAAGATGGCTAGTCTTTATTTTGAAAATATGGGTGACAGATTTTCTTTAGTCAATATATACTGTGATCATAAAGAAATGTATAGAAAAATTTTCTTTATGACAGATTAAGAGCAAATAGCCTTAAGTTTGTAAATATGACAAAGCCTATTCTTACAAATTACCTACACTAAGCCCTCATACACTATTTAATTGTAACACTGCTAACAGTTCCTAGATACTAAAACTATCTTTTATCTAGTAAGCTGTATGGGTTGATTATCAGCTCTATTTGAAATTACACGCCTCCAAAAAATTTTTATAATGTTACAAATATATTCCAATATAATACATAGCAACACAGAAAAAGTTTAGTTTTTACTTAAGCCATAATATCAACATTTTATAAGGAGAGATGATTTTAATGCACATACAGTACTTGAGTAAATATGAAGTGTGAAGAAACAATAGAGTTTAAAGTTATAGCATTTTCCTTCCTTCTCATATATTGTCTGTAGTTGGATATTCCCTTTGGTAAAATGTTAAATGGTTATAGTAAACACCAGTAAACCATGGTAGTTGCGAATAAAGTTCTGCACACTACTGTCTATTTCAGAGTAATACTGGTATGATCTTATTTTTTAAAACAAAATAAACATATGATAGGGGAATGGATTTCCTAAGTTATCAAGTTATAGCCACACATTCTACTCTAAAAATCAAAAATATTTCTTAATAAGCTTATTTAGTAAGAAAAATGCTTTTAGAGTCTGGTTTTGGTTTACTATTGAAAAGATAAATAAAGCTCTGAAACCAAAAATATGTACATATGAAAGGAAAATGTCCCTTCAAAATCCAAATATAATGCTATGCATCAGACCTCAATCTGAAATAGATTTTTTACAAATATCTCCTAGGTTTATACACTGACTCCATGTAAACTCTATAGTACTTGTCTCCTTATCTGCAGTTTCATTTTTAAATTTCAGTTATCTGTGGTCAGCTGCAGTCCAAAAACTTAAAACAACATCTCAGAGAAAAAAAGACACCAGCTATGTTCACATAACTTTTATACAGTATACTGTTGAAACTGTTCTTTCTTAAGATGTTATTTTTGTTCATCTCTTACTGTGCCCAATCTATACCTTAAACTCGATCACATGCATATGTGTCTACAGGATAGGAAAAGGCAGGATAGGTGAGGTTTTATTCTGTGGTATTCACTGAGAATGCATTGCTCATCTTAAGTGAAAACAACTGTACATATAACATTAACTTTCAGACATTATTTTATGACTTCTTACATATCAACTTTATTAGTCCTAGCTCTTTCACGAAGTTGCAGACCTGACTACTTTCTCCTTTCTACAAATTAACTGCTTTTCAGCCTTCACTTTTCAAATATGTCCTCTGTGTATTAATTTTAAAATGAAAATGGGAAAAGCATTTCAACATTTAGTTTATTATTTCATGAACTATGTAAGTGATAGTATAATCTGAGGTTTATAAAGAAGTACTCACCATTACCACCAAAGATATGAATATCCAATTGTTCACAAAGGTACATTACAAATGTGTTCACCTGAGGCAGGAGACCAATGAAAAATACTACCGGGAAACAGAGTGTAAACACTATAGAAGAAAAGAAGAGTATATTAAAAAATATACTGCATTCTCCTTTGGTTTCATTTAAAGATCACAAGCAATGAGAAAAATTCAGTATTAATAAAAATTACTATGCAATTTTTAAGATAAAATTTAAAATTATTGCTGAATAGCTGACTATTTAATATGATCAACTATAAACACCTTTTTAAATTATTTCAACCATTTTCACATAAAAGGAATCTAAAATACAGACTTTAAAGAAAAAAAATCTTCAGGGCTAGGGATTTAGCTCAGTGGCACAGTGCCGGCCTGGCAAGTGCAAGGTCGTGAGTTCGATTCCCAGTACCAAAAAAAAAAAAAAACAAAAAAACAAAAACAAAAACAAACAAACAAACAAACAAAATCTCCATTGAATCCTCTTTAAGAAAAGAAGAATTACTGCCAGGGACATAGCCCAGCGGCACAAGTGTCTGCCTGGCAAGCGCAAGGTCCTGAGTTTGATTCCTAGTACACCCCCCTCAAGAAATGAAAAAAAGAATTACTAAAATATTTGTTTATTATTGGATTTTACACTCATAATAACTCGACAGTTTTGTTCCCTAGAGAGGATATCAAACAGCAAACTAAGCTTATTAAACTATTCTGACTTACAGAATTGATTTATCATTGAACTGTTTGAAATCAATGTTAGGACCGGAGGTATTTTAAAGATGACTCACCTATAACTAAATCCCTGGCTGATACAAATACCAGTGGATTGGTGAAAGTTATTCCATATAATTTGAACTTAGTTGTAGTAAGGTTTCTGCTACCATAATCCAAGAGCCAAATGAGACCACAACACAAACAGAAGTAAACTGGTCTACTGTAGGCAATGATACGATTATGACCCTGCAAATGATATATTTTCAAAAAGTTAATTTTAAGAATCACATTAGTTGTTGAGATCATCAATGGCTTATATTTTCAGGATGCAAAACATTTCCAATACAGAAGGGAATGAAAATATTTAGACAAAAAAGAAGGACAGAATGAATACTATGAAACTGAATTAAAATTAGAGGTGTCAGTATGAACTCATTTTAATATACATACACAAACTCATAGAGGAACAGATACACGTATATACTCACATGCACGTATGTACATATATATATTGCCTATCATCATCTACTGAGACAACCCAGAAGCCATGACATTCTAGCAATAAAGATTACTAGCATCTAAATCTTAGTTTACAAATAACACTATTCATGAAAAAAGGGTTTCCTAAAGGAGACACTGATTTAGGGTTAAGGTAGGGAAAGTGTTAAGATCAACTTGGAACACACTGTTACTACAAAAAGGAAGTAATGAAAGAATGATAGGAACATGTCCAAAGAACATAGAAAGGAGCTTGATGAACTGCCAATGGCCAAATCAGAGGCAATTTGAACAGCAAAATAAGTAACAGTGATAGAATAATCCCTGAATCCATACCAATACACACATGAAGGCAAAAGGAAAAGCTGTTTCTTTTAGTGAAACATTAACTGGTAAGATATAGAAGTAATGATGAAATTACATAATCACAATCTGACAACCATCAAATAATAACTGGTTCAGGCAATAAACACCAGTACATACTAAAACAAGTAGGCAGAAGTGTGTGGACTAGCAAAGCCTATATACAGTCTCAGAACATCTCCCAATGCGACACTAAACACAAGAGAAACAGTAGCATAACAGCAGAGTCACAGTCCTGAGGGGCGTGGGCAGGGGCTTGACTTCCCAGAGGGCATCTGGCAATGACGGAGGCATTTTTACTGTCATCATTGGGAATGGGTACTGCTAGCATCAGGTGAGGGAGAAGTCAGAAGGGAGTTTACAGAGAACAGGCCAGTGATCCCTCCGTCCCCAAGAAGAACTGCCAGGTCCCCAATGTCAACAATGCAGATTTGGGCCAGGGGTACAGCTCAGTGGCACAGCACCTGCTTGGCAAGCCTGAGGCCATGAGTTCGATGCCTGGTACCCCCAACCCAAAATTAGGACTTGAGAAAACCTACAGATACTACCTTCACCCAAAAGATAAAAATCAGCCATCACTAGTAAGAGGACAAATTAACATCGTGTTTGTGATAATGACACACTAAAAACAACACATACTTTTGTAATATTCCTCCTTCCACTATATGGCCTGTATCTAATCAAAGTCAAATTGTGGATAGTCTATAAAATAACTGGCCATTAGCCATCAAAAATTTTAAACATCATGAAAACAAAATACCCAAGAATTGCTTCGGATGGAAGCTTAAGAGACTAAATGCTTAATCAAGGGCTTTCTACTGCCGACTGAGACAGTACGCAAAACCTGAGGAAGATATGCTAGCTAGAAACAGCACTGTATCAGGGCTGGGGATTTAGCTCAGTGGCAAAAGCGCCTGCCTGGCAAGCTCAAGGTCGTGAGTTCGGTTCCCGGTACCGGAGAAAAACCGGAAAAAAAAAAAAAAAGAAACAGCACTGTATCGATGTCAACACCTAACTTTGATGGTTATATTGAATTCACGTAAGAACGCCTCTAGGAAACAAGCACCAAGTTATTCAGAGGTAAAGGGGCCTCATGTCTGCAAAGAGAGACAGAGAAGGGAGGGAAGAGGTGGAGAACAGAGATCACACGCCACAAGAGGATTAAGCAAATATAACCAAAGGTAAACAGGCTCTCTGGGTGAGGAGCGCCACAATTTTTTTACTATCCTCCCAACTTTTATCTAAGCTTGAAATTACAACAAAATGTAAAGTTCAAAAGCAATGTTTTCATGTATCATTACCCTCTAAAAATATTCTTATAAAATAATAAATATAATGTCAAAAGAAAGCCATTTCTTTTCTTTTACTCATTTATTGCTATTAGCTATCCTAGTGTATGAATAAAAAATTGCATTTATGAAAGCTACTTCTTAACTATTTTAAAGATAATTTCTATTAAATATTCAAGACTACATCTAAAACTAGATCATATGTCATATAAATACTGATAAGCAGATATTTTTGTGTAATCATGAAGTAAATAACAAGGTTTTCATGTCATTAGTCCAAAAGTTTTAACACAAGACTAATTAATGTGTTACACTACTCCTGCTCCCAAGGACTATCAAAGCAAAGTAATAGCTTTTGCTCTTCAAAATTCTATTTGTTAATACTTATTGACATTTAAAATTTATTCAATAATATTTGATTATCTGATTGCAAATAATCAAGTTATGAGTTTACATGACCATGTCTACATTGATAACTTCCTCTTGAAACAGGCTGTCAAAAAATGAATTATTATGCTCATTTTAATTAAGATTTAGAGTCTTACTGGCACAATGTCATTTTTCTGCATGCTAGTAAATCACCTATACAGTGTGTCAAAATTTAGAGGAGAAAATAATAACATAAATCTTAAGTCTGTTCCATGCATGCCAGGGATGAGGGGCTTTGATAAACGTTAATCAACTATGAATTGCAGCCACATTAAAAGCAACTTACATGTCTGGGAGAAGAAGAATCTGGCTGAACACTCTAAAAATAAAACAGAAAGATAGATTATGCTACTGAAGTCCTGGTAATTTTATAAACAACTTTCAAAATGCCAGAAATGACTTTAAGTAAACATCCCCCAGTCAAGAGCTGACCTACATTAATTCTGCTCCAAAGATGAAACAGCTCCAGACACAGGTACCACTGTGCTATTAAAAATTCCCATTTTTTCCCTAAACCTTACCTATTCTGTTGAGTTAACAATTTGCATCTACCTAGCTTATTGTTTTTGAAATGGCACATGGCAGAAAAATTCATCTCACTATGTAGCTCATTAGCACACGTAAGTATAGCTAATGTAGAATTCTTTCTCACGGAACATCACCCTACGGAGGAAATGCACAATTAACATGGGTTGGCTTATAGGAATTCTAGTTCTGCCTACAGATTCCAAGCTTAGTAAACAATTCAGTGGTATTTGTATTTATCCCATGTATTTGCACCTCAAAATAACCAAGGTAGTTCAGCTCTTACCTTATAAGAGAGTTTATTAATTTCTTACAGAAGGTGTTCTAACGGTTATTATATAGCTACTTCTCCAATCTTAAATTTTCCTCCAAATTCCAGTTCACTCCCCGCCTCAATGGTTTACTGCACCATTTCACAGACTAGTCTTTCACTACCCTCCAGTTCCACACTGGATTAATTTCATTGAATCCGGCATCTGGCCCTAGGCTCGATATGAGTTCAGCTAACTTTTAAACTTTTTTAACCTTAACACCTGGCTTCTAAAACCTTTTTTATCCTACTTTTTACATTTCTGCTTATGACATTATTATTCTTCTGGTCAACTATCTTCAAAAATCTGTCAGCTTTTCCCTATTTAACCATATTAACTTGAAAGTGCTAGTGAAAATTAATGGGATAAAGAGACACTAGACAGAGGGAATGAACTTAAATGCTATAAGGCCGTAGGGGGACAGATTAAAGTGGCTGGAATAAAGAGCAAGAATAAGCAGAATGCTGGCCTAGCACTCTAGTGCAAGTTTTCATTCCCACCACCACCCAAAACATAAATAAACAAAACAAAAAACACTGTTAAAAAAGAAAAAGAAAAGTAGAACAAAGACCAATGATTTTAACACAGAACCATCAAGCATAATGAAAGGGACTGGGATATTTGTTATCAAAGAATTAAGAGGAGGAAGTACAGACTTTAGGATTTTGAATTGATAAATCACTGTCAAAACCAAAGAACTGGGAAAGGAAAATATTAATTAGAAGATGATAATGTGATATTTTTTACTAAAGCTTGTGAAAAAAGTGAAGACTCAGAGATAAATCTGAACTTAACTCTTATGAAGGGGCAAAAAATAAAGTAATAAGGGATGAGACTTCCTGGGCAAGGAACTGTAAACTGAGACAAGGGTCAAATAAAACCCTACAGAGCTCTCCAACATTAAAAAGTGGTAGCAGGACCAAAGAGGCATCAGCAAAGGCCAAAGTTATCTGCAGCTCCTGAGAACCCGTGGGGCTGTGCTAAGTCTGTGCTGCACACAGCAGCAGTGAGCGGGACGTGGCCACCGAAGAAGGTACGACAGTGTTAAATGACACGCCACCCACAGAAAGCAGGGCGACAGAGGGCCTACAATGAGCAGTCAGAGTGATTACTACCAACCACAAAGGCTGTAATTTCATTAGGAAAACAACACCTTTCACAACAGCACCCAAACAATATGAAATACTTGGGAATAAATCTAACAAAGGATGTAAAAGACGTCTCTACATTGAAAATTACAGTACTCTGAAAAAGGAGATTGAAGAGGATATCAGAAAATGGAAACATATCCCTTGCCCTTGGGTAGGAAGAACCAATAAAGTGAAAATGGCCATACTTCCAAAACTGTTATACAGATTTAATGCAATTCTGATCAAAATTCCAACAGCATAACTCACAAAATTACAGAAAACAATCCTAAAATTCATTTGGAACCAGAAGAGACCTAGGATAGCAATGGCAATTCTGGGCAACAAAGGCAAGGCAGAGGGCATCACAATCCTTGACTTGAAATCATACTACAAAGCTACTGTGACAAAAACAGCAGGGTACTGGCAAAAAGTCAAACTGAAGATCAATGGAACAGATTAGACAATGCAGAAACAACTCCAGACATACTCAGCCACCTTATCTTTGACAGGGGTGCCAAACATCTTCCCTGGAGGAAAGACAGCCTCTTTAATAAATGGTGCTGAAAGCACTGGCATATGCCAAAGATTAAAACTGGACCCGTATCTTTCACTATGAACTAAACTAAAGTCAAACCAGATCAAAGATCTAAATATGAAGTAAAACAGAAACATTAAATCTGCTGGAAGATAGAATAGGTAAAACTTTTGAAGACATTAGTGTAGGCAAAGACTTTATGAATAAAACCCCGATTACACAGGAACTATCAGAAAGAATCAATAACTGGGATGTCATCTTATTAAAAAGCTTGTGTACAGCAAGAGAAATCACCAACAGAGTGAAGAGACAACCCAGAGTGTGGGAAAAAATGCCATCTGTTCCTCAGACAAAGAGTTACTACTGAGAACATAGAAAGAACTAAAAAATATCAGACCTTCCAAATGTAAAGACCCAATCCAAAAATGGGCATCTGAGATGAATAGACACTTCTCAGATGAAGACATACCAACAGCAAATAAATATATGAAAAAATGTTCAACATCACTGGTCATTCGAAAGATGCAAATTAAAACAACACTGAGATTACATCTCAAATGGCTATTACCAAGAAATCAACCAATAACAAATGCTAGTTGGGCTGTGGAGGAAAAAGGAACCCTTCTCCACTGTTGGTGGGAGTGTACACTGGTGCAGCCACTGTGGAAATCAGTGTGGAGATTCCCCAAAAAACTAGGCTTATAGATCCCATTTGATCCAACTATTCCCCTCTGGGTTATCTTCCCAGAAGAATTAAAAACACTATACCACAGTGATACACGTGCACCCATATTTATAGCAACACAATTTGTTAATAGCTAAATCTGGGAATCAACCCAAGTGACCATCAACTGAAGAATGGATAAAAAAGATGCTGTCTTTTTATACAAAGGAGTACTACTCAGATATAAAGACGGGTAAACTGGAGACTTGTATAGATAAATGGATATAACTCAAGACCATACTCATAAGTGAAATAAATCAGACAAACAAATGCAAACATCATGTTGTCTCCCTAGGGTGAACAGCTTGAAGAATAAATAAGATCCAAAATGTACAATAGATACTGTAAAATTGGAACAAACTGTTCAAAAGGAAATAGAAACTGGGATGAAGGAAAGGAAAAAAGAAGGGAAAAGCAAAAAACAAAATACACATACACATACACACACACAACCGTTAAGACGGTTATACTGCTAACTTCTCTTGGTTCATTTAAAAGAAAGGTTTGTGCTAATATTGTTTGGACAATTAAATGCCTATATCTTGCACTCTGAGTAACTAATTTAAGGATAAGAATATGCAATGTATTAACCAGTGCTACCTTCCTAATATCTTATTATGAATTTTTTTCTCTTTAAAATAAAACCATTTTCTTTAAAAGAAAAAAAGGTTGTAATTTCAGCACTTCAATGAGGAAAGCAAACATGGACAGGTCTTACAGAAATGCATCAGATGGCCTAGGTAACATAGATGACTACAGCTGGCTTCTTCTACTTACAAAGGTGACGAGAAAAGAAAGGACAGCTGAGAGTCTATACCTAAACAGTAATCAGTCTAGCAAAGGGCTCTTCAACCAACATGTACAAGGCAAATAACCAAAGATAGGAAATGGTCCATAGTAACAGCCCACACTGAAATAGAAGGTGAAAATTTTGTTGTACGGAAGTTGGTGTGTCCGATTTTCCTATTTTTTAAAGCTTAAAATTGACAGTAATTGGTATGTCATGAGCCACTATTCAAAGTAAGTAACAATGTGACATCAAGCTTCTTTCGATGCTCCAAAATAAAAAAATATATACTAGGTTTTGACATTTTTACCTACTAATGACAGCTTTTAATAAATTCACTCACAGAAGATTCAAAAGATAGGAGTAGAAAAGTTAATGCTAATAAATCAAGAAGAAACAAATTTCAGGAAGACAAATTCTTATTTTAAAAAGTATTTTCTTTTAATTACAAAGAAATCATTTTTTAGGAAACAATTTACATAGTTTTTTTGAAGTTTATATCCCTATTTTGTTCTCAGCATAATATAAACATCCAAGGAAAATAAGTCCAAATACTATCTTATTATTCATTGAATGGTATGAGAACTTCTGGCTTTTAACACAAATTTTACCTCAAGCATGAAAAACAAAAAGTACCTTCAGTAGTGAGTATTGACAGCTGGCTATGACCAGGCAGAACTGAAAGACCCAGATGTCTCTGAAGAAGCCCTGTATGAGAAGAACGGATCCCAAAAAAGCCACAAGAATAGCCAGGATGACAGCTAGTACATTTTCCAGGACCTCACGATTTCTGTAGATAGAAAAATGTGTGAGTTAGTGTATCATGAAGAAATTAAGCAGACTGAAAAAGGATGACATCACAGGGAAGCTGGCTGGAATGTATTTTGAGTACAGCACTAGGTTTGAATTGCTTTTGGATCATACTGAAAAAGAAACTACTTTTATGTGGATTCAACAAAAATTCTTATATACAAATAAAGCACAACACAGGGATTGTGTAATTATAATATACCGTAGCTTTCATTTCTATTAGAAATGAAAGCTTTTTCTATTAGAAAAATTATTTCTTAACATTTGCTTTTCTGGCAACTTTGTTATATAAAGAAAAAGTTAAGTTTAAAAAGTGAAACATTGAAACAATTTCTGGAGAATTTAAATTTGAAACATTCCATTATTTTATATGACAAAGCTTGTAACCAAACTGTGATACCAAGTTGTTCTGTTTTCCCCTGGAATAATCCCAAAACTCACGTATTAGAATTTCTTAAATATAGGCTCTTAGGTATCTTGAGAATGAAGATAGTAGCCAAAATCATCACCTCTGCCTCTATTAAGCTGCTGATACAGTTCTATACTTCAGCAAACTGACAATGTAAAAGAAAAAATATGATGCCCAAGCTATTAGAAATAGTAATAAAAGTGATTTTTCTGCTACCCCAAAAAACTTAATCTACCTCATTACTTCTTGGGGAAATTTTATTCATAAAATGCTAAATCCCTACTTGCTAAAGTTATGTATTTAAAGAACATTAAATGACATGGAAATATGCTCAGCTCATTTGCTGTGAAGAAAGCAGGACACATAGGAAGATGTGTGTTCTGTTATCAAAAACATACACATGTAGGTTCAAAATGACAATAAGCTAAGAATGACATTACTAATAATTGTTCTCCAGAGAGGGACTGAGGATTATCCTTTTATATCTTTCAAAACTTTCAACATATTTAAATATTTTCAATGAACAAAATACTATTGAAATCATAAATTTTAATTATTTAATAATAAAATGCTACATTTAAAATCAGTTAGGCCTAAAAATCCAAACATCGGTGTACTATTTCATTTAATACTTCTACTGGATTACAGCAGTTCAGCAACAGTACTTTCCAATCAATAAACTACTAATATTTCCATTTCATCTTAGATGGCAGGTGTCAATTCCAGATTTGCACAATCCAAGGGCTCTTTGTCTTTGTCTTTTTTTTGTTTTGGTTTTTTTTTTTGTCTTTTCTTCCGGTACCAGGAATTGAACTCACGACCTTGCACTTGCCAGGCAGGCGCTTTGCTGCTGAGCTAAATCCCCAGCCCCTCTTTGTCCTTGTCTTGCCCTGCACACCATTTCCCTTATAACTGAGCATGTGCTTTCCTTTGGCTTTTAAAACATTTTCAACATTGTGGACCCAATTTATCCAACAGTTCTTTTAGTAACCTCATTTTTGGTGTCATAGGTTACGAAATTTTTCCTAATCTAAGTTTATAAAAATTTTCTCCTGTATTTTATTTTGTTCTGAATTCTTACTGTTTTAGGTTCCCATTAATCCTAGCATCCATTTTCAACTGACTTTGTAATATGTTACAAGACTAGGATACAGTTCTTTATTTTTATTTACTTTCTGCATATGGAAATCAATTGTTGAAAAGATCATACATTTCCCACTTCACTGATCTGGATATAATTTTAATGCATCTGAGACTGGAGTTTTCTTTGTAGTAAGGTTTTAAATTACAATTTCCATTTAGTTTAGTAGGTAGGACAATTAAAGTCATGTATTTCTATCAGATGTACTCTGATAACTTATACCCTTCAAGAAACGTATCTGGGTCAGGAATATAGCTCAGCAGCACAGCACCTGCCTGGCAAGCAAGAGGTCGTGAGTTCGATTCTCCGTACCAAAAAGAAAAAAAAAAAAAAAGAAACGAACGTATCCATTGGGAAATTTATTTACATAGAGCTGTTCATAATACAGCGATTTAAAAAAAAAAAAAATACAGCAGTCCTAGGTTCACAAACTTAATCTGCTCCGTAATTCTGGAAAAGATGACCACGTTCACGTTTGTGTGAGAAAGAAAGGAAAGGTGGATGTTCATCACCTACTGCAGAGTTCACAAACAGAAACAAAATTTTGTCAAATGCTTCTGTTTGTGAGTCAAATTGTTCATGAACCGAAGTACCACTGTATTTTACTATCCTTTTAATACCTGTAGAATTTATAATGGTACAGCTCACATTCCTACTGTTGTTAACATGTGTCCTTTTTTGCTGATCAGGCTGGGTAAAGGTTTATCAATTTCACCGGTATCTCCAAAGAATCAACTTTCGGTTTCCTTGATTTTTTTTCCTTTTCTTTTTTGTTTTTTCTGTTTACTCTTAGAATTCTGTTTTATTCTTTTACTATTTTCTTTCTTCTCCTTACCTGGGCTTAATGTGTTCTCATTCTTCTAGTTTCCCAAAATGGAAGGTGAATTCACTGATTTGAGAGCTTTGTTTTCTAACCCAGGTGATTTAAGACTAATACATTTTCCAAGTACTACATTACTGGAATCCTAAAAACTCAGATACATTGTTTCTAACTTTTGTCTAGTTCAACATACTTTCTCATTTCCCTATTCATTTCTTCCATGAAAATTATTTATTATAATTTAATTCCACTGCAGTAGTCAGAGATCATATTATTACCTGAATCCCTTTTAAAAGTTACTGACCTTTTCTAATACGGCCTAGAATACAGACTGTCTTGGCAATGTTCTGTGAACATTTAAAAGAATATATATTCATCCATGTTTACTGCAGCATAGTTCACAATAGTCAAGATATGGAAACAGTCTAGCCACCCAACACATGCATGGATAAAGAAAATGTGGTGTACATGTATACACAATGGAGTATTATTAGCCATAAAGAATGAAATTCTGTGATTTAAAAGAAAATAGATGGATCTGAAAACATGATGTTGAGCAAAATAAGCCAGACTCCAAAAGTCCAATATGGCATATTCTCCCTATTATGTGGAATCTAAAACAGAAAGGAAAATGGAAGGGAGACCATTATTAGACAATAGAAAGGGAGTAAGGAGGCGGGTAAGGGAACCTCAGGGCAAAGGCATTAGCAAAATACATTACACACGCTGCACGCTTCCCCAAATGTAAAACTAAGGGGGAGGATAAGAAGGGTGCCAGTGGGTAACATACTACTCAAAGTACATTACATGCATTTACAAATCTAATCTATATTTAAAAAAAACAGCGATAAAGAAAAAAATGGTAAAAAGAATGTATATTCTCATTATGGGTACACTGTTCCATAAACATCCATCAATTCAGACTGACTGTCCCAATCTACTACATCCTCACCGCTATGGTCTGGCTCTTGAAAGTCCCTCAAAAGCCGTATGCTGAAAGCTTGGGCCCAGCAGCAGCACACCTGGGAAGTGGCAGGACCTTCCGAAGGCAAAGCCTAGTCAGTGGGAGAACGCTAGGTCACCAAGGGCGTGCCTGGAGGGGATATTCAGACTCAGCCGCTCCACTTCCTGTCCTTGCTTCCTGGCTGCCATGCAGGAACAGCACCCTCCGCGCTCCCAGCACAATACGCGGCTCTGTGACAGCCCGAAGCAAAGGGCCAGGTGACCACGGACTAAAGCTTCCAAAACTACGAGCCAGGCAAACCTTCCCTCTTCCTAACTTGATTGTCTTGGTTGTTTTGTCACAGAAATGGAAAGCTGGCTGGGTTTTTTTTTTATGTATTTATTCTATTAGTTATTTAAAGACAAATGCTTGCCAGGTGTGGTGGTGCACACCTGTAATCCCAGCACTTGGGGGAGGCTGAGGCAGGAGGATCGTTGTGAGTTCGATGCCAGCCTGGGCTACAAAGTGAGCTCAAGGTCAGCCTGAACTGCATAATGAGACCCTGTCTCAATAAATAAATACATACATACATACATACGAATGCTCAATCAGCTATAATTGTGGGTCTGTTTATCTTATTTTTTGCTGTTTCTGAGGTGGAGGTGCTGGAGATGAAAGCCAAGGCTTTGCACATACTAATCATGTGTTCTACCACTGAGTTATACCTCCAGCCCATATGTGTTTTTTTGTTTTTTTTTTTTTTGGTTTTTCTCCGGCACCGGGAACTGAACTCACGACCTTGCGCTTGCCAGGCAGGCGCTTTTTGCCGCTGAGCTAAATCCCCAGCACCCCCATATGTGTTTTGAAGTTCTGTTTTAGGTACAGAACCACTGAACATTATTAAATTCTACAGGTTTACTGACCCCTTTTCATTATTAAATGACATTTATTTTGTGACAGTATTCTCTGCTCTGACACCTACTTTATCTAACATTTATACAGATAGTTCAAAATTCTATTTGACCTATTTGTTTCTACATTTAAAGTAAATTTCTTACAGGCAGTGTAGTCTTTTTTTTAAATCCAACTGAATAATTCTAAAATTTTTCTGACTTTCTAATCTTGTCATTTATTTTCTATCTGTCCTTTTTATCTTTTTAATGCCTTTTAAAATTAGGAAAGTTTTTATTAACCTATTTTATTTCCTTTTTTGACACATTAGCTGTAACTTTTATTGTTTTAGGGGTTGCTTGCCATGGAGCTCTTGCCCTCCTTTTAAATTTTATATTAAAAAGATAAAGTTTTGAGCCAGGCATGGTGGTACACACCTGTAATCCCAGCACTTGGGAGGCTGAGGCAGGAGGATAGTTGCAAGTTCAAGACCAGCCTGGACTACAAAGTGGACTCAAAGCCAGCCTGAACTACATAGCAAGACTCTGTCTCAAAAAGACAAAAAAAAAAATCAAGTTTTGTTACCTATATACATTAACTATGCATGTATTTTATACACAGTTTAAGACAGTTCCTCTTCACTCGCTGCTCAGGCAAGACAAAATGTTTGATACCCATGCTAGTTTATTATATGTATTTTATGATACTGTATCTTCAAGTGATGATATAAGAAACTTGTATACTTCTATTTCTGAGTCTTTTTATTGTTATCAATATTACTTTTACATGCGATGAGCCACACAAGCCACTGTCCCTTTGTTTCAACAATTATCTCTTAAAGAGATTTAATTCTGAAGAAAAATATCTTACGTGTTTACTCATCTAGTTACCATTCTGAGCGATCTTTACTCTCTTAGGTAGGTCTATACTTCTGATGTCGTTTTCCTTCTGCCTTAAAGAAATCTTCAAATATTTTTTGTAGCATGGGTCTACTTGAGATGAAGTCTTCTCATTTTTTCCTAGTTTGAAAATGCCTTTACCTCTCCTTGCCTTTTAAAGAATATTTTTATTGGTATAGAATATTAGGTTGGCAATTCAGTAATTTTCCTTTCAATAATTTAATTCCTTTTCCTTTCAATAATTTAAAAACACTGTTGGACTGTCTTCTGACTTTCAGTATTTCCAACAATAAAATTAATGTCTTCCTATTCTTGTTCTTCCATATAAAATGTTTTCTTCTTTTCCTTTGTGGTTTTTAAGATTTTATCTTTGTCTCTGAGCAATTATGTGCCTTGGTGTAGCTTTCTTCAGGCTTCTTGTGCTTGGACTTCACTAAGCTTTTTGAATGTATATTTACAGTTCTCATTAGATTTGGAAAGTTTTCCAGTATTTCTTCAAAACGTTTTCTTCTATACTTGTCTCCTCTTCAGGTTGTCACAAGCTTGCTTCTGACTGTTTTCATGTTCCTTTCATATGAAATGAGATTGGGGAGATTCTGTTTTTATTTTTTCCCTGCTTCACTCTGGATAGTTTCTATCATTATGCCTTCAAGTTCACTAATCATTTTTTCTATAATATGTAATTTACCCATTAATTCCATCTTGCATTGTTTCCTTTCTTCCTTTCTTCCTTTCTTCCTCTTTCTCTCCTTTCTCTTTCCCTTCTTCCCTCCATCTCTTCCTTCTCTCCTTTCCTGTGGGGAACTGACCCCAGAGCCTCATAGGCAAGGGTTGTACCCAAGAACTATACTCTCAGCCCTGCAGTGCATTTCCCCGCCCCCAGACATGGTAGTATTCAACTCTTTAAATTGGGTTTTGGACTCATTTCTGCTAACTGTCATATCTGTGTCACAGGTTGGTTTCTTCTATTCTCTTCATTACAGGTCTTGTTTCCTTCTATTTTTTTTTTTAAATTTTTTAATTTAAAGAAAATAGTACAAAAAAAAAGAACTGTTTCCTTACTTCTCTGCACACCTGGTTACCTTGGACTGGATGCTGGAGAGGAAATCTAAACTTGGTGGGTGTCCTCTACACCACAATGTAGAAACGTAGAAATTTCTACGTTTCTATCAATCTCTGAGTTTGTTATGCTACATGGAAACAGTTTGATCTCTTCAAGTCTTGCTTTTATGATTTGCTAGGTGGCTCTAAAGTAGTGCTCACACAAAGCTAATGCATCTCTACTCTGGAGACAAAATTCTCCCAAGCAAACAGTTTCTTCAAATATATGAACTTACTTATACGCTGCTGATCAGTCAAGAAGACCAACTACAGACCTCTTGAGATTTTCAGTCTGGCCAGCTCTCTCTCATCAGATAGTCTGTCCTAGGGACTCCAGCTGCTTTTGTCTCCAAGGACCCCACGTTCTCAACTCAGAAAAAGTCTGCTTGACTGTTGGTTCTCCTGCCTTGTGTCACAGCCCAGGAACTCTCTTCAAGTTCCTGGGGCAACTGCAGGCTCACATCATCTGTCCCCATCTCTCAGGAATCACTGTCCTTCATTATCTTACCTCCAAAGTCTTAGAAACCACTGTTTCATGCATTTTGTACGTTCACAGGGGAGGGTAAATCTAGTCCTGTTATTCCATCTTGACTAGAAATAGCTATTAGTCACCAAGTTTGCAACCCAATCAATGTGTTTAACCACCGCTGTAGCAGAGCTAAGAAACAGGGAAACCACATTTTCCTCTTGTAACTTCTACACTGCGGATCATATGACCTACAGCATTAATAAGATTATCAATACTTCACATATTCTGTATTTCAAGTACCAGTCGAATAAATGTTACTGATAATAAAAAAGGTATCTTTATATAAATTTATTACAATTACAAAAGTTTTTAATGGATTTAAGAGAATCAATCTCAAGAAGACAAAAATAGGAAATATTTTGTAACACGATAATGTGCAGTTAGGAAGACTTCAAGTTAAGAATAAAATCTTCACATATCTTTCATATCACACTATATCCTCACCTATCAAACAGTGCCAGAAGTGTGAGTCTGTCAAAGTTAATGCCGATCCACAGCTGGGGCAGGATCCAAAAGCGGTAATAGTGTTTAACCTTTTGGGCAGCTTCTTCTGTTGGACCATAGGCGGCCGCCAAATCAGGGCTTAGATCAATGTCCTGCTGTTCCAGCAAATCTGTATCGATGGTCAACAGTCTGTTCAACCGAATCTGTGGGAGAGAGAGCTAAAACAAAGTCAGCACTGGAAAACTTGAAAGAGTTTTAATTAAATCATGACTCAGAATTACTCAATTAGCTTATATATTATCAAAGCTCCTGAATACTCTGGTCCACTCCTAGGAAAACTATATTCACCAGAAAGAACAGGAGGTAACACGATGGAAAGTGAGCTGAAACAAACCAAATTAATCAACAGGCTTTAGGAAATGTGTTTGGAAATGTGTTTGCAATCTTAAGATTTTATGCTTGTATAGCTAGCAATCCATCAAAATCACTTGCCCTGAAGCATTAGTAACTTCTCCGTCACGTTTATGCTCATGTCTCAGTAAGCTATGAATCTCATTGTTAATGACAAATCTGAGCCCTTCAGCTCTCATTTCAACACGCAGTGTCCTATCACTGTTCTTACTGCTTTTAAATCTTCCCCCCCTCCTTTTGTTTTGGGAGACTGCTCATCTGAGGCTCTGCAGAAGTTACTATACTGTATTTCTCCTCGCTTTAGCTCTTCTAGTTAACCAGGTCCCCCTCCCAAGATATATATAAATATAAAGATATAGATACAGATATAATATATATCTTGATGGCAAAAGCAATTTTTTTATCCATACTGTATCTCATGCCATAATTTTTATACAGTAATGTCATTACAACTATACCAAATCATAATACCTTTTCTTTTGTCTTTTTGACACAGGGTCTCACTATGCAGTTCAGGCTGGCCTTGCACTCATTTTGTAGCCCAGGCTGGTCTTGACCTCACAACGATCCTCCTGCCTCAGCCTTCCAAGTACTGGGATTACAGGAATGGGTCACAATGCCCAGCCAAATCATAATACTTAAAGTAAGGTTACCAAGTAGCACAATTAAAAATTGCAGAATCAGATTACAGATATTGGTGAGTAAATGGACCTTTACATATCCTCAAAATATGAATATTTTAGGGGCATCATACATATCACAGTTTCTTGTTTGTTTCGTATCAGACGACTAAGAAAGATGTGCTGTAGGAAACAAAGGTAACTTTGCAACCGTTTTCAACAAAATTGACATTTTGAAACTTCATCAATTTCTCTGATTTGTACAGCTATTTATATAAATCTGAAAAGATACCATGTTTCAAAAATAGTGAAAAACCTACCACATCATGTGGGTAAAATCGTACTGAGGTAGAACTGGATACATGAGAGTCCGTGTCACTAAAATAAAATGGATAAGAAGTCAGAGAGTAAGTAGTTTGTCAAACAATGGAAAGAAAAATAAACGGCTTAACAGTTAGATGACATTTATACTATTTGCACTTTTCAGTGTCAACTTCAACATGTAAAGTAGCACTCCTAGAGTCGTGATTAAGAGCACAGCACCTGGGCCAGGGTCTGCGTCCAAGTCTCTTCATCAGCAAACTGAGACCGTGGACAAGTTCTCTAATTTCTTCATTCCTCAATTTTCTCATCAGTAACATAAGAGCACCTGATCACAAGGTTCTTCTCAAAGTGTTTAAATGAGATGACCCAAAGAAAGCAATTAATACATTTCCTGGAACCATTACAGATGAAACATAGTTAAGCTGCCATATAAAACAGCCTAGAAAATGAAAGTTCAGTTTCCATGGGTCAGTCAAGTTTGGATTTCAAACTTGGAGGCTTTTCCACATTTATAATGCAAGAAATTATTCTTCTCCTACATTACACTAAATGTAACAAGTGTTTTTATTCCTCCACGCTCACAGGTTTCTGCTGTTAAGAATCCGCTAATACCCATCTCAATTTAATAACGCTTTGAAAGTGAATCTAACTGGACTAAATCAATATGCTCAACTGAACAGCTGGAAGACCTTATTTCTTTAAATGGCCCCCCAAAACTTAAGAAATGGGCCAGGTGTAGTGGCACACCTGTAGTCCCAGTACTCTGAGAGGCTGAGGCAGGAAGATCTTCAGTTCAAGTCCCGACTGAGAAACCTACCGAGACCCTTTCTCAAAATAAGAAAAAAGAAGACTGGAAGGCAGCTGGGGATGTAGCTAAGTGCAAAGGCCCTGGCTTCCATCCTCAGTAGCACCAAGAAAATATTTTTTAAATTAATGCACAAGTTAAATAGAGTTACCCCCTCTACTGGGCATAAGATTTCAAAATATGCCCTACACTACAAGTACATGCTATAAATAATTTTCTTTTTTTTTTGGTACTGAGAATTGAACTCAGGACCTTGCACTTGCCAGGCAGGTGCTTGGACTGCTGAGCTGTATCCCCAGCCCCCTATAAATAACTTTTAAACAAGCTTTTATTCCTTGAGACTTAAAATCTTTAAGCATGGCAAATATATGTACACACATATACACTCCTAACATGTCTTCACACATACCAGATATTGGACGCTCTTCTTGCTGCTGGTTCAAAATTCACAAGTGACATATCACAGCCACCAGTCTCATAGAGCGTAGAAGAGAACTTACCTAGCAAATAAATGATTTTTTTAAAAAGCTGTTAGCATTCTAAGAAGTTTTCCTTCATGATATACTAAATTTTATAGCTTTTTACATTTAAAAAATCATCCTTTTTCAAAATATCTTAAAAACAATTATCTGGATGTAATTTAGCATGGTGTGAATTGAAAAAGAATGCTAGACACTGGGGTGGGATGCCAACATATATAATCAGGTGTTAATAGTAGGGTAATTTAAGCCAGTTTTCTCCTCCTACCCGCCCATCCAAGTAGTCACATGACTTAATCTAATGTTTCAAAGTCACCTGACCACTTCTTGCAGGTAGTAAGTGGCTCTTAAGTTTTGAGGTAGTTCAAACTTCAAGACAAAGAAAAAACTTTTGAGGGGAAATGAAGTGTTAAAATGAGTCTAAGGAAGTATAAGAAATTGAACGAAACATAATGCTGGTGATAATTACACTGCTTAGTGAATATTGTTAGTAGTATGATTTTATAACAAGGAGCTCTGTGAAATATTTAGGAATAGCAACTGTTACATATCAAAATATCTCTACAAACTGATAAAGGTTTAGAAATCAAATCTGGTTGCAAATGTATATCGATTAAAAAAAAGAAAACCACAGTTCTTGGGAATTCAGCTCAGTTTCTCTTCTCAGCTACAAGACCCCACTGCAGCAGTCCCTATACTTATCACTATGGCACTTTCTTCAAGGTAGTCTATCTTACCGAAACACACAAATAAAAACAACAAACACCTGGCTGCCTTAAAATGAACTTAATCATAGAAAATGATTTCTGATAATAGAATTGCAAAAATCTGGATACTGCCTTAAATGCATTTTTGAGGACCTATGGAGCCATATCAATAGCAGAAACTATAAGTAAATTACTATAAATTTCGAGGAGGGCAACAAGATGAGATATGTAATTTGGCACCAAGCTATGGGGCATCCAGGCTGCTTTTCAAGAACTTGAGTTTTTTGTTTTACCTTATCAGCCAGAGTTATTGAGGTTGTTAGTAAATGTGAAGCATCCTTAAAGATCAATATCAACTTGATGGCAAGGCTAAAACTCATATTTTCCATGCCTATTATGCAAACAGGACTCAGTGAGAATTTTTAAAGTTTAAGTGTAATACTTAAAAGAAACGACAAAAAAGAAGCCATAATGTGCTAATAAGTAAGGATTTACAGGACATTTTAAACATTACTTCATCCTTTAAAAGGCCTGAGTCCAGAAGAAATAATTTTTAATAATTAAGACTGATTGAGTACTTTCTATAGGTCATGAGACAAATATGTAAATTTATTTTATAATGCTATTTTCCATAGAAGTATTTTTTTCTAGCCAAAATAATTTGCTCCTGAGATCAATTAAGAGAAAGTTTTTTTTTTTAATAAAATAGTTCATGTGCTGTATTTTTTTTCCAAGGAAGGATTACTGAGCACATGGATTTTCTGAAGACTCTGCTTTCTCTTCCCTTTTAGTCATGAATAACAAACAAAAATGAAATGATATAAGCTGTCAATTAGCCTACTTCTTAGAGGCACTACTGACAGTTCTCTTCCAATGGGAGAGTGGGTTGCAGAAATTATTAGTGAAAAAAAAAAATGAACATTGGTTCAACTGAAATTGTAACATTTAAACTATAATTTCATACTGTTTTTTCTTTATTTATAATGGATCATCAAGGATTAGCTGTGCTATCACAACTAAACTTTCACTAATAGAAATTGAATAGATTTTAATTGAATAATATAGATTGCAAAAACACTGAATTTTTATAAACTTATGTGAAATGACAATCACAGATTAACGAAGAACAGGGAGAGTCTGGCTATACTATGAATGAAGTGCAGTAAGAATGGAATGCATCCACTTCTGTGTGGTAACATGCAATTCACATGTATTTTGGAAATAAGTCAGTTCTGTACTCCGTAGTGGAGTTTAAATTACTGCACTGTATTCTGAGTAAGTTTTCCCTAAGACTTGTACATTCTATTTTAGTGTATTACAAGTACTTACATACAATTAAAATCAACTAAAGATGATGTCTTTGTAATTTCAACTTGAACCGTGAAAGAACATTAAGTGATTTTACTATGTTGTCTTTTACAGATGTTTAGTATTACACTTACATAAAATAAAATTTTAAATAAATACAAACATAAAAGCAAATAACATGTTTTTCTACACAGAAAGAGAGCTAGACAAATTGAATAGTTTTATTACTACCTAAATCTACAACTCTGAATGCTTCTATACAAACCAGTAACTAACAAGTGATAACATTCAGAAATTTAAACTGCAGCATAAAACATGTCTAAGAAAAGGGACTTTACCAGATGCGCATGACTTCAACAGTGTTTTATTTTCTTCCTTAAGAAGCTTGTGTTTGGCTACTGTACTTTAGGAACATGCCCAGGCTCTTGAATACACATGGCGCTTGTCAGAACAAATGCACTGTAACCAGGCTTCATGGCACAAGAAGCCAACTCAGCTCCAGAGAAAGTTTCACATCCCACATCATTTTTAAGTATGGCATAGGGCAGCACTTAGAAGCAAGAACTTTGACTTAAGAGGTGAATCAGGAAAAAATTATACCACAAAATGCATAACTTAAAGATTCACCAAAAAATCTAGTAATATTTTAATGTACTAACTTACCAAATAACCTACCAAAGGGAGCTTCAAAAATAACTGAAACTCAAATAAGTATATATGCTGTTGTTTTAGAAAGATTAAAAATATCTTAATTTAGGGTAGTTTTTTATTTGAAATCAAGACTATAACCATGTTTAGAGTGAGATTGAAAACCAAGTGTGCACTCGCCGGGCCCGGCGTGCACCTGTAACCCCCGCACACCGAGCAGCTGAGAAGGAGCTACCCCAAGCCTGAGCCCGACCGGGACAACTTAGCAAGGCCCTGCCTCAACATGTAAAAACATTTAAAAGGCCTGGGGATGTAGCTCAATGTCAAGGCCCTTGGCTCAATCTTCAGTACCACGCAACACCAACAACAAGAAAAGTGTACTTCTATTATAACTATTTTAACATTATCCTGCATTAAGAAAAGCATTTCAAACTAAGTTAATATAAACCAAAATAAAAGAGTATCAATGCAATTTCTTGTTCATGTGAACCAATTACAAGCTAAGCCGTCCTGTTATAATTCAACTTCCAGTTCATAATTAATTATATCTGAAGGAAGGCTCTGTCATGATTTAAGGAAAACAAAATAAATTTCTGACAAAATGTGACTAGAAGCTGAAATTTCACATTCATAAAAATCATACTGACCATAAGATAACATCCTTAAAGAAAAACATAGCTAGCATGGTCGTGGCACATGTCTGTAATCTCAGCACTCAGGAGGCTGAGGCAGGAAGACTGCTCAGAGTTCAAGACCAGCCTGGACTACATAATAAGTTCAAGGCCAGCTGCACTGCACAATGACACCCTATCTCAAAAAAAAAAAAAAAAAAAGAAAAAGGTATCCAGTATTTCTCGTTCTTGAATATTCAACAATCAATGCAGAATTTTGTCTACAGAAATTTGTTAATCATTCTTTTGAGTAAGAGAATTTCAAAGTAATCACAGGTCAATAAATAAAGGATGAGCAACAGGAAGATGAGCAGAACTGGAGTAAAGACCACGGACACGTGAATCATTCACCTAAAGCTACGAATGGCACAGCACACAAATTCTAAATACACACTGGCAAAAGACCGATTAAAGACAAAAAGAAGAAACGAGATTCTCAAACTTGTCCTATCAACAAAAACCTTCACATGACACAGATTAGGTGCATCAAGAATTTTAAGAACAGTGTTCATCTAAGAAACTCCTATTGTACTCCTAATGTTATTGTCACCCGTTTTTCTAAAGACAGCTATATATTTTGGAAAGAGGTGGTTACTTCTAATCTTCCAAGTAGCAAAAAAGGAGGCATCCAATTTAGTGGATCACTGTCTTCTTTGACCTCCAGTTCACTTGATGCATTTTGTCCCCCAAGTCTAATCTTAACACCCTGTCTTAAATGACCTGCCACTTTTCCAGTATTACTCTTAGGACAAAAAAGGGCCATGAAGCAAGCAGAGACACATGGAAAGTAAAGGTATCTGGTGGTTTCTGAAAGATTGTTAAGAGGACCACACACGGCTAAGTGACTACCTTCGCACTCAAACAGTAAGTAAAAACACTGCCTACTTCTGCTGATGAGTATTGTGCTTATAATGATATCACCGTTATTACATAGGTATTTCAATTTTTATCTTATTTGTACGTTTGCAGTTCACGTACTTTACAATCGTCTTGAAGGGTGGTTACACATGCATATTACAGCATGTTTCTTTTTTATCCCCTCTCCCTTATTACTGTATTTTTAAGAGCGAAATCCCGTAAGATCAGCTCTAATTCCTGGACAGTACTCATTACTAGGGGCAACACTGAGTCTCTGAGGTAACATCCCGACCTCACACACAGAAATGACTCAGGGTCAGCGCTGCTTTCTAGGTCCGTGGGCTTGTTTTGGTCAATGAGCTTGTTTCTTCTGAGAGCACAGGCTAGTGAACTTTTTCTATGAGTAGCCAGGTAGTAAATAAGTTTTGTTGGCCATTAGTCTCTGCTGCAACAATTCAAGTCTGCCAGGATAATAACATAAAGCAGGTATATAAAACACGTAACATAAATATTTTATTTACAAAAACAAGTGCTAAGCCAGACTTATCACAGGCTGTAGTCTGCCAACCTTTGCCTGACCCAATCCAAAGCCTCATGCTCCTAAAAGCTCTTTAATTCTTGTGATACAGTGGAAATCACTTGTAATTTCAAGTTTCAGTATTTAACAACAGTCTATCTTCCTGAAACAGGCAACACTACACTACTAGGTTTTTAAAACAGGAGAATATGGAAAAGGGCAGGTATGAGAAGAGGCTGGTAAGAAAAGAGAGGTATTTCTACTGCTTGGTAACGGTAACAGAGATGTATATATGGTACTGACATATTTTAC